AGGAGAACAGCGACAGTCGACAATCAGCTGATGGTAATACTGTAATTGTTGTCAGCTGATAGTGTGAACTACCGTCTGGCTGGACTCTCCGCTGCATTGATAGCATTGGGGCTAATCAATGATTTCGATTTGTGTGAATAATACCGTAGATTGGACGATCCAAATTGGTATCTGAGCTTTTTCGCAATACTAGGTAAATCGTACCAGTGAAATCAATACTGATGGTAAAAAGACTTCTTTAACTTTATAAAGAATCTACTTTAGCTATTGAACATGCTAAAACTGTATACATTTTTTTACTATTACAAAGTCAAAATAAATTAATAGCTTTGTTGATTTTTTTGTGTGAAGTGAGTTTAAGTACCAACTGATGTGACAGTTACAGAATTAAAGTTAAAGTATGAGATATTTGGATACCATACAAAATGATTTTAAATAGTTTTGAAGATCGGTTTTGGGATTATATCACACATTTCTATTTTTTATCGTGTTTTACAGATAGAAAAACTCCAGCCATGCTAATGAAATCAAGTTACCCGTTAATTTTAGATTACTTAATTTAGGCAACACACGTTTGAACTACTTCAATTTTATAATAAGATTTCTTTCACGGTGTTAAACGTTATTATGAGCAACAATTCATTTCAATCCGAAATTTCCTTAAACCATTGACTTCCTGTACATAGACGTCGCGTCAAATATTTCGTCAAAGCTAAAACGCACTGTTATGACAAAATAATTGAAGATATTCATTATAGTTTTGTACTTGTTCAGCCAAGAAACAATTACATTGTGCAAAATGTTGAAAAATTAAATACAGCAGATATTTAAACAGTATAAACCTATTACAGTACATATTACAGTATTCCCGTCATTCATAAGAAAGTCATTACATAATATGAACAACCAAGCTTCGCAGTTTAAAATCCCCTCATTTTGAACCTAATTTAATTCCCAGCGACAGGGGTGACTCTTTTGAACCTCCCCTCACAGGTCGCCGCTATCCTGTAACGAACATTATGAGGGCCGGGTGAATGTGTTTTACAAACAAGACCTCGGATCAATCCCTGATGATTTCAAGGATAAATATTAATCCTAATGATTAATTACCGGTAATGATTGGCAGGCTATACTAAGATATTAAGATCTGCTCTTAAAACGAGAACCTTTTTGGACGAATTTTGAAACTGCTAAATAAGTAGCCTATAAAAAGTTATATTTAGAATCGTTACGAAGAAAAAGAAAAATTGAATTTGTCAAAGGGGAAGATGTTTGTTTAGATATTTAATATTCTATGCTTTTGAAATAACATATGATTCTTCATGTTTATCTTACATCTGTTTACAAATAAGTTGTTGTTATGTTTTAGAGAATAGAAACTTTTACTGTTACTAAAAAATGTCTCCTTTATTTAAAAATAATTAATAAAAACTAAACGAGTACTGATCAAACTGTTTAAATCTTGGTTTTTCGTTCTGACAGTAATTGATTTTGACGTAAATTTACTTCTGCCTTTTCAGCACGCTTAACTGTTACAACATAAAAGCATACCTTTTTTCAAAAACATACCTTGTTTGCACATACCTTACGTCATCACAATTTAGTCTTGGACTAGTTTCGAAACAGCTTTATTGTCAACCCCCTTGCTTCGTAAAATCAATGGAACACATTGCGGAGGTAAAAAAAACAACATTTAACACACACGAACACGGAAACAATTGTATGTTGATTATCAAGTTATACCTCAAAAATGTGACAATATTTGTGACGAATTAACGTTAGTAGGTTTTTAATTCTTATTTCACAGGTTGACTTCTGGAACCACATGGATTAGACTAACTGTATTCATCAGTTTTAGGTCGCAGACAGCTACACTTCATCCAACTGGGATATCCAAGAATAGTGAAAAATTCAATTGATAACTTTCTAACTAGACGCCAGATTAAGCATTAGGGGGACAGTTATATAACCTTAATGTATTACCATACTTACTTGATACTTGGTTACTTCATCCTTTACCAACAAAGTTGGATTAATTGCGTCTTATTAACATTAAAAACACTAAAACATATATATACAACTAAGCAACGATGGCGGGTATGGCGGTATTATTTACAAAAACCAGAGGCTCGTCAAAGATTTCTTGCCAGGAGTGTAGTGGTCTACTGAGCAAACTCTGGCGTAGCGTTAGCTTAAATCTCTTTTTGTCAAGAGCACGAACTCCTATCGGCAGCGTATTAAAAAGCCGAATAGCAATCCATAGAATAAAGGAGTATACATATATGAATGTGTATTTATATGTCTACTCCTCTAATCTATGGTAGAACCATATTGCTCAAGTGATCAGCCTATGCCATACTTAAAACCCCTCTATGAAACGCAAACTGTTTTATACAACCATTGACTAAATATACCTATAGGTATATATAGTCTGTAGGTATATAGTCTGTAGTCTGTAGGTATATATAGTCAATGATACAACACAAATCAAAGCCCCATTGGGACATTCTTATTTATTATTGAGGTCAAACTTGTTTTTCATTTAGCCTAGTTGATTTTTACAATCTGTTATTGAATCTGTTATTGAATGTTTATGCATTAGTTATGCATTGTTATTAATCTACATTTTTAATGTGTTGGTGCATCTTTTTGAAATGGAACTGACGTTTGGATTTAATAAATAAATAAATCTCAAGGGCTGGGAGATGTCTGCGAGGCAGACTCTGAGACCTTGGCTCATTATTTTATAAACATTCTGACTCACCGTACAAGATATCTTGTTCTATCAAAACAGCTTTGAATTTATTATAACCCAGAAATAACCGAACGACTGAATTTTTTGAATCACACCTAACCTTTAAAACTTTTAAACAGTGGGTTTTATAGCCTAAATCACGTTTTTATTTTTGGTAATTATATGTTTTTATAATTTTGAAAGTAGAAAATATGACGGATCAGAATTTGTGCCAAATTTAGAATATATTCTATAGTTCTTTGGTTTGAAGCAAATAGGCTAATTATAAATTTACATACATATGTTAAAAACTTAACTTACGTCATCGTTGTAAGATTGATTAGGTTTATTTCAAAATTTTATTGAGATTTAGTTTGTTTACAGGTTTCTGTAGTTTAACTAAGTTTGTTGAACAAAATAATTACCCGTAAGTTAAAATGGTTGATATTACCATTGACACCAAAGTAAATAATAATGTGTACTAAGACTAACGACATACGATCACCCTTAAATCTTGAATATGTCCTAGGCACAGTAATAATGTGACCAACTAGGCTTTTTTCAATTCCTTAAATATTTTTTATAAATCAAACTTTTCTTCAATCTAAACCATCACCATAGCCTAACTTACTAGAAATTAAAAGCTACGAGAGGTCGTCCAGTGGTCGAAACTCGACCAAAAATACGTAATGTACTCACTTATCTATTTTCACCCCACACTGTAAATAAAACATGTGATTTGAGTTTCTTCCATTTGTTTTGGTTTTCTGTTTATATTTCGTTGTTATTTTCGTTACCAGCATGGCAACGCATAAGATCCATGTTAATATTTTCAAATTTTTAAACTCATTTTTTGTGCTTATCTTTGAGCCTATTTAAATTTATAAAGGGATTCTGCACACCTACAGGAAAATAGTTTTCTAACGGTATGCGTAGATTTTCCCTACGATGAACACGAGCTGAGAAAAAAGGTTTTAAAGAAACATGCTTGCCTATTAATATACAGTGTGTAAATTAAGTATGAAAACAAATCTGTATTTTTAAAACCGAAATAGATAGAAATATTCTATTTGTGGCAATAATAGTTAACAAAGATTCCGCAATTTTTCACATGTAAAATATTTTTTTACCCCCCTAACAGGGTAGGTGGTAGGGGATGACTTATTTTTTTTCAAATAGCAACCCCTATTGAGTGACCCCTCATTTTGAAGGGTTTGTCAAAAGAAACACAATGACGCAAATCCGAGGTGAATATCTCACTCCTAGCTAACATGGCGGATATTCCAAAATGGGCTTTTTTTTTACAAAAATTAAATTTTTCATTACCCACCATTTAGGCTAGGGGTGAAATATCTACCTCGGGTTTGCGTCATTCTTTTTCTTTTAACAAACCCTTCAAAATGAGGGGTCACTCAATAGGGGTTGTTGTTGAAAAAAATAAGTCACTCCCACCCCCTACCCTGTTAAAGGGGTTGAAAAAATATTGTTGATTAAAAAAATTGCGGAACCTATGTCAACAATCAATTCCACAAACAGAATATTTCTATCTATTTCGGTTTTAAAAATACAGATTTCTTTCCATTATTTGTGAAATTGGTGCTTTTCACGTACAATAAATCAAATTTTGGAATATCCGCCATTTGGGCTAGGAGTGAGATATTCACCTCGGATTTGCGTCGTTGCATTTCTTTTGACAAACTCTTCAAAATGAGGGGTCACTCAATAGGGGTTGCTATTTGAAAAAAATAAGTCACCCCCTACCACCTACCCTGTTAGGGGGGTAAAAAAATATTTTTCATGTGAAAAATTTCGGAATCTTTGTTAACTATTATTGCCACAAATAGAATATTTCTATCTATTTCGGTTTTAAAAATACAGATTTGTTTCCATACTTAATTTACACACTGTATAGATAGATACTGTATTTGAATAAAATGTCAACTACACAAATAATTTAGTAATGCCAGTAATGCATCAGTCCAATGTAAGCAATTACTTGTTAATCAATTAGTAATTATTGTCGAGTAAAAATGTTCATTGTTTAAAATAATTAGATACTTTCGACGTTTCAAAATACATGTGCACTGCACACTGTCAAAATCTCAACGTAAACAAAATATTGGTATTGACGCCGGTAACTCAAAAACGTTGATATAAATGCAATTCATTCCAAAACCTCCACTTGTATTTTAGGTAGGTTCACACACTATTCATAAATGACATTCATGTACACAAACTAAGTTACAATTAGATATGTGGGGCTCACCAGATCAGTGTAGGTACAGCAGATCACGATAAGTTCACTATCACCACAACACTATGTTCCAGACTGCGCGCTGATTCGTCGAAGCAGGTCGCGCCGATACTGACACATGCGCACTACAACAATGCGCTGCGGTGCTGCTGCCTAGCGGCCGGTCGAAGAAATACACTGCCACAGAGTATACATTCATAAGTGCTTCGTGTATAGAAAATGTCGGTATGGTAGACTACTTTGTGGTACTTTAGGGTCACGAATTGTGGATATTTAATATTTACCATCGTGCACTGCGGAAGCGACAATAGACAATAGACAATAGACAATTTATTCATCGTTCAGTAATTACAAAATTACAATAGATTTCGTCAAAAACAGAATATATAAATAAAGGTTACTTTTTAAAATCTAGGTCCTTGTTTTTGAATTTAACATAAAAAAAATCATCTATTTTGTACATTGGATTGATTTTACACCACTTTAACAGTTTGTCAGAGAAAACATTCAAAGGCAAAGAGCTGAAATCAACAGGAAACTTATTAAATATTTTAAGACCCAAGTAGGTATGGTAATTCTGAGTTCTTGACAGCCTTACTCTATCTAAATCTAATGTACCTCTATTTCTTGTTTGGTAACTATGGACACTATCTCTAATTACATATTTGTGGTAGTTTTTTTTAACAAAAAATAGACACTTCATATATGTACAGACTAATTACAGTTAATATATCTAATTTTACAAACAATGGCTTACAATGGTCTCGTTTTCTACTACCAGTCACAATCCTTATCGCCTTCTTTTGTACTTTCAAAACATCTGTAATTCCTACTCCATTTCCCCAAATAACAATGCCATATCTAATAATGCTTTCAAAGAATGCAAAGTAGGCTAATTTTAGATAAGTGTCAGTTACATGATTTCTTAAATTACTAAGTAGGCAAACCACTCTGGATAATCGAGCACAAATAGAGTCTATATGCTGCTGCCAAGATAACCTACTATCAATGTGTATACCCAGTAATTTTACATAGTTATAGCTAACATTATCATGAGTAGAGATTAATAAACAATCAGCGATACTCCCTGGTGTGGATTAACGTCCGCACTAGCGAGTACTACGACTATCCGCAGAACTATCCTTATATTTAGACTAATTCGTAAATTACAATGCAAGAAAGTGGTTTGGATTCCACTATAAACTGTAGGTCCCTTTGCCATCGGCTGTATGAGCTATTAAACAGCCCTGCCCTGTCTAAGAAACATGTTGTCCTAACAATACTTCATCATTCCCTCTTTGGGAGCTCGCGTGGAATATGCCACTATCTGTACCTATCTGTACTAGTAATGAAATACTAAGTGTATGGCGTTTATTGAAAACCAATTTCAAAGATTTATTTAGAGAGATGGAGCAATGAAAGTAACCAAAAATGTAGAACTTCCGTTATTTTGCTTGATTTGTGACTCACGCGGGTCTTTTTAATTGGTCCATACCTACAGTGGAAAATAAAAACGTCGTCTTTACTTAATAATGTAAATTACATGTAAAAATATATATTGCAACTGCCCGAACATTGAAAATTTTCAATTCCTACGACAGTTATTGAAACATAGGCATAATTATTACCGTTACATAAATTATTCCATGAATCCCATTTTGGAATCTTATTATTTTCAACCTAATATGACATCCCCTATCACCCCCAGGGCAAGATACTGAAGTCTCACCCCTACAACACTGCGACAGAAGCGATGTTTTGTCGCATGTCGCGTCACTGTTTTGTCGCAGCCAATTGAAGACGTTGTCACGGTTTGTGTTTTGTCTCTCACTGTAATATTGCGATCACCTCAGTCACGTCAATGCTTTGTATAATTTAACCTGCGAATGATACAAACCAACAAACACGAGTTTTGAATGTTATAGAAAAAGTTTATGATATTCATTTTATGATTTGTTGGAAACACGTACGCTGTTTTACATACAGTAGAGGACATAAACATACATTCGGCTCCTGGGTGGATTTGTGACAACCATTTGCAGAAACAACGAGCTGGTTGTTAAACATCCAAATGTATTGCTATTTTGTTAACTGCTTGGCGAAAATCTGGTTGTTTACAATATATTGAATCTAGTGTAACAGTTTTTATAAATAAAAAATATAATTTTGAATGTTATCTTCTATATAAATAAAATTAGAGTTTTGTCTGTACATTGCTCAGAATTATATACTTTTAGGTTATTTTTACGTTTTATACATTAAAGAAGCAGAAACGAGTCTTATCTCAATTTCTGTCTGTCTGTCTGTCCCTTTGTCTGTAACACTCAAGATGGCATTTTACGCAATCTTCTCCGTGAAAACCAGAGTACATATCAAGATCCAAGCCATTTTAATGTATTCACTGGATTGGCGAGAGTGTCTTTAGTGATTTAAATATAGCCTCACTACTTTGTAAATAAAATTACGGACGTTCAAAAATGCAGTTTTGTGCGATTTTTGTCAAATTTTCGTTCAATTTTTATCACAGTATCGTCTATGAAATAACGAACAGCTGTTCGGATCAAGATTATTTTTTCTAGCTGTCAATGACATGTTTACAAATGCTGTTTACAAATACCGCAACTATTTCGAATCACGTTTTGAAAGCAAATCCCAACCAAGTGAGATTAAAAACGTTTTTCTTACATAACGGATTTAATTAATCGCAAGTGCAATAATATAGTCTAATAGTGTAACCGTAAATGAAATTAAATAACTAGACATCGTCCAAATCGGAACCAGAAATTCTTTGAGTATAAAATGTTTCTTGAGTTTTGACAACCAGAAAGAAGAAGACCTTGAATCAGTGTTGTATAGGGCTGTGACACTGAAATGATCGTCGCCAATAGCTTACAAAAAAGGTTTCCACTCATTGACGGCGCTTCAATGGCGATTGTGTAAAGTGTAAAGTAAAAAATCACAACTGCAGTGGGTGATTGTAACAGAGGTTTTACAGAGGAAGTGCTAAACTCGCTTTTCCAATGTGTCACTTTCTGTTTCTACTCACCGTGTGATGCAATCGCTGGACCATACAGCCAATAGGCCCATAGCTCATATCTTGGGTACGTAAGCCTACATATTTATTCATAACAACCTTTTTGACGACGATCCTTGATACCGGTACTTTTCCATAGAATACATGGCCTACCTACTTAAAAAATAAAATTACAAATGACCAAAACCCCAACATTGTGTGATTTTCGTCACATTTCCTTCTAATGTTAATAGATATACTAATCATTGTTTAGAGAATGCGTAATCTATTAAATAACAAAAAGTTGTTTGGGTAAGGTTGCTTTTTTTCAAACTGACACCGATAAGTTTACGCAATAACTTTTTACGAGAAAATCCAAAAGCAAGAGATCAATAACCTCGAAGCTAGATATTAATGTATTTAATTGGTCCGATTTACTGTAATTCTTAGGTAGGTTCTTACGTAGGTACTGGTTCTTTTCCTTAGAACCGGTAGTTTACAAATTAGATATCGTTGGTGTTGCACCTTATTTATTAGAGCCGTCCGTATTCAATTTAAGTGATGTCTTAACTCTGTATAAGTTTTGCTTTTTTTGCCTGGATTCCAAATCTTAGCTTACCCGGTATGCTAAGAAAATGATAACCTATTTGAGTAAAACATTTGTTGGGCAAACCATCATGAATTGTTTACGCCTTTATATTGTTTATGTATCAATAGTTCGTGGCCTTTGTTGGATTGTTGTATTGTGTTGTTTTGTTGTATGTTGGTAACGCATTAATGTCCTTATTTCTCAGTGTTTCACGGAATGGACAAGAGCACCTTTGATACTGAAAATGTCAACCGGAATAAAGTGTTAAATGGTGAGGTTGAGGTAGTACTTTAAATACGTTTAAGTTAACCGATGTGGAAAGTAACTTTCAATTATAGGCCTACTTTAGGGCTACGCTTCATGGATCTATAAAACATTTTTAAGTTTAATCATTGGACATATGGACCAACACGATCCGGGCGACATTTAATTGCGAAGCATTTATTTTGGCTTGAACTGTCAGATACTGTATTTGCGAAGGTTTATATATAATAGTTTTGCCAGCATATCTGCAAATATGCAAACTAATTGCTGCTCTTAATCTTAATATAAGAAGGTTTCAACTGACTACTATAAGATCCCCGTGCGTAGAACGGGCACACAGCTAGTTTCAGTAATATTGTTCTAAAGATAAATTGTTATGAAGTATATTGTATATTGATGATTTTATAAGATAAACACTTTTACTATTGCACCACTCCTGGCTAAGAAATACCTGATTTTATTCAGCAACAAAGCTATATGTATTTATCCAACGATCATCTTACCCACGCCTTAAAACACGCTCCCTGGTATGACCTCGTCTTACTAATCCCTAGTTGTATGTAGTAGGAAAGTTATCAGTTTTCCCAATCATCTATCTTAGTTTATGAATTTCATAATTATTTAAGCTTCTATGAGTTTTGAAATCTCAACCCAAATGTATTAATTGATTACCGTTTAGAATATAAGGAAAATGTAAGCAGGGAATTGAACACGTCTTCGCCCTTCCTCATACTACTGTAGTAGGCTACTAAGTACAGGCACTAGACCATATCACAGTATACCACGAGGGACTCCTATTGTTTACCTAATGTGTTAATTATGCACATAAGTAAGCATAACCACAGTTAAGCCTCGGTCTCATCGGTATGCAAACCTAGAGATTAGGCTCAAGTTGAGACATTTACCGGTCTAAGCTAGAATATCAAACGCGGGGTGCGAATTTCAAATGTAATAATGTTTAGGGGTTTAGTTTAGAGCCTCCTCCTTATTCGTTGATTGGGATAATGTAAATATTGCATTGATGAAGATCTCACCAAGTTGTACAGGTTATTTTACTTTTACTGTATAATAGCAAATAGTTTTATGATTTAGTATTTTATTGTCAGCATACGAAAACATACTTTAGCGAATTTTCCATAATATGGAATAAAATAAGCTAATACCATCGTACTCACG